TCTCCTTCTCTTCTTTTACAGATGGGGGCACTGTGTGTTATAGACTTTGTTTTCCTTTAACCATCCGAGCCTGAAATGTGGGTGGGTGGCAGGGTGGTCAACATTCTGGTCTCCTGAGCTCCTCACAGTGGTCAGAGGGAGGGTGACAGTAAAACTCTCATGTGTTTCTAGATGTTACCATACTTTAAATATGGGTTCCTGTGGTAAAATGATGGGCTTTTGAATTTGGCAAGTCAGTCCCTCTGTGCTTTGGGCCTTGGGGAAGGAAAGAAGGAGGGAGTGACCTCAGTCAGAAAAGGAAGAGTGTGATCACTGTGTTCACAAGTCTGGGGGTCCCCTTCCTTGCTCTGTACACAAGTGAGGAACTAGCTCCACACTCAGAGCTAGCTAGTGGAGGAAAGATTCCCCAGCTGGTCCCGAGGGGAGCAGGGTTTTGACTGGGGAGGAGCAGCAGCCTCCTGTGAAAGGTCAAGGAATTCTGAGAGATGCATTCGCCATCAGAAACCACCCAGTTTCCCCTTTCTTTGTGTGGGAAGTTTATGGAGCCAGGTTCACTGGCTAACCCAACCCTGATGGTAAAAAGCAGACCTTCTTTGAAAGGGAGAACTGACTTAATACCAACCACTGGTGAGCTTCAAACGAACAAATGGGGAAAATGATGTCGGGGTCAAGGGAAAGTTACAGAGTCGGGATCCAGAGCAGTGTGGGGTGGCGCACAGGAAGCACAAGTCAAGACAGGCAGGAGAACCCAGTCAGGGTGGGGTGCTGGGTGACAGGGAAATTCTTTGACATCCAGAGCCAAGACCCAGAGCTGGGTTCAGATCGTCCAGAGCCTGAGACAAGCTGGGTGATACCACAGGACAGAGAGCAGGAAGCAGGTTCCTCAGGCCTGAGAATCTTACCACATGTAGCAACAGATTCTGCCCCAAGCCCCCTATGTCAGGAGCCTGTGAGAAGGAGTTTGGGTGAAGAGAGGGACCTGGCCCAAGCCCAGAGGAGTGTTAAAGTGAGGTGAGAGGCTAGGAGCTCGGCTGTCATCATGGTGCTGGTAGCAGGCCAGAGGGAGACAGATCATTAAACTGGCTGACCATGAACACTGGGTGGAGAAGGCAGTGGAAGCTGTCTGTCCCTAAGCTTTGCTGAACCCTAACTCTCCCTTTCAACTCATTTCTCGGAAATCAGATTATGCCATTCATCCATTCACCCATTCATTGAATCAGTCAGTCAGTCATTCTATAACCACCAAGTCACTGAGCAGCCCCTACTTGCCAGGCACCATGGGTGGATGTGGACCGAGGGTGACAGGCGCGCAGTGGGAGGCCCAGCTAGGACTCAGGGTCATAAGAGGTGACCGCCTGCGGAGCCAGCATGTGCTCCATAAACATTTAGGTTTGTGTTTGGGGGTAGAGGAAGGAGGAGCTATCTATACACCTGGGTTTAAGGGTGACTAGGATTCTCCGAAGGCCACACCTAGTAACATATTGTGTTTTGAGGGAAGCAGTGACTTCAGTTTCATGTTGCGTTCATCAGAGGAAATTGCCAGTGTAAGGACAATCAGGGAATCCCTGCTCTTATGTCCCCAGAAAGAGAAGCCCATGGTGAGGAGACTCTCTAGGATCCGACCATCATGGAGGGAAGCTATGCCTGGGCAGATGCTCAGAAGTATCTACTGCTATACTCAATGCTATTACTGTTAAGGGCACCTAGGTTCTGTCATTATGCCCCTGGGACTTCCTCCAACGTGAAAACAACTATGTTTCAAACGGACATTTAAGCATTTCAACCTTTCTCTTCCTCTCTTAGACCCAGGCCACTGAGCAGTGATAAACTAGATGAGCCCCTTACTTTGCCCTATGCTAACTCATGCCCCTTCTATTTTTAGCAATGCTGGAAATACCTTCTGTTTATCCCTAGAGCCACTTTAAACATTCAGCAGCTTTTCCCCTACTTAAGAGGACTTATCTTAGCAAATATTAAGGCCTCACTCAAAAGGCAAGGCTCTTCCTGACCTCACACTGCCACTCACACAATACTTTCCCAGGACTCTGAGTGGGCCCAGCTCCAAGCCAGGAAGGCTGAGCTCCCCCTTTCCACCTTTAGTCATTTTCCTGCCTGAGCTTAATTTGCTCTGTAGACATTAGAAGCAAGGATGGGGGTTAGTACAAAGATGAACATAGGATTTCTGTGTGGAATTCGTTTTCTCATGGGGTCTCTTGTTTGATCTTGGGTGAGTTATTTCACCTCTCACAGCCTCAAACTCTTATCACTTGAGAAGCGTGGATCTAGTGAAGATCTCAGAGACCCATTAAACTAGAAGCTCTGAACTAGGCTGTGACCCTCACCCTAGGGAGTTCTTACTCTGAGGGGAAGGGGTCTTCATACTGGGAAAGCTCCTAGAATGAGACATAACAGGTGTATATTAAGGACTTGTTCAATGTTTATTGAATGAATGAGGATATAGATATTACTATGGGAACACTGTTGAATTGATGGTTTTGAACTGTGATATTGAAGAAGACTCATGAGGGTTCCTTGGCCTGAAAAGAGATCCAACCAGTGTATCCTAAAGGAAATCAGTCCTGAATATTCATTGGAAGGACTGATGCTGAAGCTGAAGCTCCAATAATTTGGCCACCTGATGCGAAGAGCTGACTCATTAGAAAAGACCCTGATGCTGGGAAAGATTGAAGGCAGGAGAAGGGGACGACAGAGGATGAGATGGTTAAATGGTGTAACCAACTGATTGGACATGAGTTTGAGCAAGCTCTGGGAGATGGTGAAGGACAGGGAAGTCTGGTGTGCCGCAGTCCATGGGGTCACAAAGAGCCGGATACAACTGAGAGACTGAACAACAACAGCAACTGTTGTTTTGAGCAGACACATTTCTGATGCCCAGAAATCCTCCCCAAAGACACAGAGCCAGAGAGAGGAGGAAACCATTGCAGCCAGCAAGATTCTCAAGGTGTTGGGTCTGGAGTAGGAAGTGGGCAAGAGGTGAGGAAATGTTCATTCTGGAGGGCTCCATGAATGGACTGGGGATAAAGGTGGTTAGAGAAGACGACTAAGGTTTCAGGTGGGGGTGGTATAAGGTTGTGTTAGGAAAGAGGGCAGGGCCATGTCCAGAAGGATGGGTGGAGTGGAAAGAAAATTTATCCCAGAAGAGGAATTAGCTCTTTAAAATCTCTGAAATAGGAGATGGGTGAAGGTGTGGTTGGGGAAAGTAAAGCAGGTTTACCCAGATTAGCAACCAGTCAGAGAGGGGTGAGGTTGGTGGTGGTGGGGGGGGGGGGTGATAATTAAGTAATTCCAAATGTGTGTAGTTTAATAGAGTTAGGAGAAGGACAGGGGGATGAACATAAGGGTGTAGGACATTTCAGACAAGGACTCTATAACCAGTCAATTCCATGATCTCTTGCATCTACCATTATAAGGCAGACAGCACGTGACCACTTCAGCTCATCTGATCCCCTTCCTTTCCCACTTGTTCATCTGCTCAAATGTGTTCTATCCCACAGCACATGAGGAACAACCATCCCAAGGAAAAAGGCAGCAGAAAGTGGCACTGCCACAAAAGGACTCAGTTCTTTCTTCAGGATTAGCTCATGAAACACTCCAGGAAGCCTATGGTTCACCCCTCCCCCAAACAAGCCCTATTCTGGGTCTAAGGGGGAGGGGCAATTGGAATTAGGCCCAGGTGACATCATTGTCATGCAGCCAGTGCCAAAGAATATCAAGTGGGTGGTTTTCATCACAAAAGCTGAGCCAACTGATAATTGAGGGGAGTCAGGTGAATCATGTTTGACAGGTAAGGAATGAAAACAGAGGGGCCCCCCGATGATTGTATTTCCTTGAGGCAGGGCTCATTCATTGTATAAAAAGCCAGCTGGCCCGTTGACTTCACAACCAACTGGAGCAACCAGACAACCTGTTCTTCTCTGTGTACCAGGTGAGTCTCTGATTAGAACCCATTTGAAATTTTTATTTTATCATTGTTGGAAAGTGGACAGAGGCAAACATGTATAAGAGGGCTGAAGAAGGGCTATCTTTATTTTAAATGAAACATGGTTTGGGTTTGAAAGGACATTAGAGCTGGCAAAGGTAGCCCCTTCAGTGGACAGCTATGGAACTGGGGGTCAAAAAGGAGGACAATCTGTAAGTTCTCAAGGTAAATTAGCGGTAGTGTTATCACTAGAACTCAGGACACACTTAGCAACACCATGATTCTCTGTTTATGCTAACTTATTATACAAATTTTAATTCATAAGATGGACCTCTACTGAATATTTATTATATTTAAGGCACAGTGCTAGGCACTGTGGCGGGGATCAAATGGTCACAGAACTTACTCAGCAAACTTACAAGCTAGCAGGGAAGATAATGCATGTACACAGGAGTAGATGAAATCTAAAGTAGATAGTGACTGGTATCAGAGAGGGGTCAGAGAAAGGCAGTGGCAGTTTGGGGGAGCTCAAGAAGAGCTCCTGGTAACGACGCATGATGTGAGCTATGATGGAGGAGTATTTGGACCCACAGAGATGGGAAGGGAAGCATTTCAGAGAGGACTGTGTACACAAAGGCCAGAGAAAAGTCAGAGAAGCTTAGACTCTATAAACTCAAACAATAAGTCACAGGGTGTTCTGTGTGATACTAGAGGTGTGTACAGTGTGGTTCTTTCTACAACATCACTTTCTAAATGACTTAATATGTGGTCTTGGGTGTTTATCGAAAAGGGATGTGACATGTCTGAGGAAGAAAGGGAGCCGAGGAATGAATCCCCCTGAAATGGCAGAGAAATGAGTTGCCTTGAAGCTCCTCCTCTTGAAAAAACTCATAAATTGTCAAAGCATATTTTAACTATCAAATTTAGCTAGGAGGAACAGAGACTGTCTCCTCTAAAGGGGCCTGAAATGAAACTATTTGGCATTTAACTTGATTTCTTCTCTGTTTAATCAAATCATTGAGTCAGTTTTTCTGTCTCTAGGTCTAGCCTCCTTTGAAGGATGAGTTCCCATCAGCAGAAGCAGCCCTGCATCCCACCTCCACAGCTTCAGCAGCATCAGGTGAAACAGCCCTGCCAGCCTCCTCCCCAGGAAACATGCATCCCTCAAACCAAGGAGCCATGCCACACGAAGGTTCCAGAGCCCTGCCACCCCAAGGTTCCAGAGCCCTGCCACCCCAAGGTTCCAGAGCCCTGCCACCCCAAGGTTCCTGAGCCCTGCCACCCCAAGGTTCCTGAGCCCTGCCACCCCAAGGTTCCAGAGCCCTGCCACCCCAAGGTTCCGGAGCCCTGCCACCCCAAGGTTCCGGAGCCCTGCCACCCCAAGGTTCCGGAGCCCTGCCACCCCAAGGTTCCAGAGCCCTGTCCTTCACCAGTTGTCCCAGGGCCAGCTCAGCAGAAGACCAAGCAGAAGTAATGTGGTCCACAGCCACGCCCTTGAGGAATTGACCACCAGAGGCTGAATCTCCTTTCCCATCTGCTTCTGTTGCCCCATTTGCAATTAGTGTGCTCTCACCCTGAATCATAACCCCTCCTTCTTTGTACCCTGTAAAAAGCTTCCCTCGCATTCAGTCTGGAAGGTTCCTGAGCTTCTGAATCAGGTTGAAAAGCTCACTGGCTGAGCTAGTCTTCCGGCTGCTCAGGGCTCATCTGAAGAAAGATGTTGGGGTTGGGGGAATCGAGTGAATCTTCCCTGCTCTGCCCCCATTAAATATGTTTAACTCAACAGCTGACTGTATGTGTCTTTGGCTGATAGTTTCCTTCAAGGTTCTTTCATGTGAAGCAGAAACTGTCCACAGCAAGGGCTGGTTGTGAGAGCTGCAGTCAGAAAGCATTGAGACATCGGGAACATGTGTGTGTGAGTATACTCACAAGCACTGCTAGGCTGGCATTGGGAGAGCAGGCAAGACCACCAGTGTCTGTAACTTTGGACAGCCTGAGTTGGAGCAGGACTTCCTTCTTGAAAGAGTAAATTATTCATATCTAAATCTCTGACTCTACCCACATTGCCTTTATTTTGTTGTTATTTCTTTATTATTATTCCTGTTCCAACATGATTATCTATTCTTCACTCATTCTCCCTGCCTGATGTACCCCACACATGGAGCCAAGCTCTTAAACACACTCACAGACACAAACACACACACACATCTTCATCCACACATACCTGTCCACATAGTCACACACAGACACACACACACAGATCCCCCAAATTACAAAATACACACACACACACACACACACACAATGATTTAATCAACTTGCTCTTTTTTTGTTGTTCTTTCACTGGATCCCCAGTATGAAGACCCCAATACATAACAGCAGGAAGGAAGGTAGCACCCACAGTGTGTGCCCTAGGAGGAACCTGAAAGGGGTGATCTTCACTGCAATCTAATAGGAACATACATTCACACAAATACACACTGACATAAAGACACACATGCCTCCCCCCTCTCTCCACACACACACAGGGTGCCTCTCAGAGTAGAATGTAAGAGCAAATGCAGCAAATAAAAATGGAAAAGAAAAGTTTAGGCAAGTTTAAGGAGGAAAAGAGGTAAATCATATGAGACCAAAATTAAAATAAAGTTAAGGGAGAGCAGGTAATAAGATACAAAAGGCAACCTAGGTATCCATTGATCGATGTGTGGATAGAGATGATGTGGTATATACATACACAATGGAATATTACTAAACCACAATAAAGAAGAGAATCTTGCCATTTGCAGCAAAATGTCTGGGCACAGAGGGTATTATGCTAAGTGAGATAAGTCACATAGAGAAAGACAAATACTGTATGATTTCACTTATATATGGAGTCTTTAAAAAACAAATACCAAAAAACAGAAACAGATTCAAAGATACAGAGAATGAACAGAAGGTCACCAAAGGGGAGGGTTTGAGGTAATGGGCTTCTCTTGTGCCTCAGCTGGTAAAGAATCCACCTGCAATGTGGGAGACCTGGGTTCGATCCCTGGGATGGGAAGATTTCCCTGGAGAAGGGAATGGCTACCCACTTCAGTATTCTGGCCTGGAGAATTCCATGGACTGTATAGTCCATGGGGTCGCAAAGAGTCAGACATGACTGAGCAACTTTCACTTTCACTTTGAAGTAATGGGCCAAATAAATGAAGGGAATTAACAGGTAAAAAGTTCCAGTTATAAAGTAAATGTCACAGAGCTATAATGAACAGTAAATACTGTCAATAATATTGCAATACTTAATGGTGACAGATGATTACTAGACTTATTGTGGTGATCAATTAATGTATATATAAAAGGTGAATCTTTGACCACCTGGTGAGAAGAATTGACTCATTTGAAAAGACCCTGATGCTGGGAAATATTGAAGGCTAGAGAGAAGGGGACAACAGAGGATGAGACAGTTGGATTGCAGCACCGACTCAATGGACATGAGTTTGAGTAAACTCCAGGAGTTGGTGATGGACAGGGAGGTCTGGCGTGTTGCAGTCCATGGGGTCGCAAAGAGTCGGACACAACTGAGCAACTGAACTGAACTGAACTGAAAAGTTGAATCACTAAGTTGTACACCTGAAAGTAATATATTCTTTGTCAACTACACTTCAATAAAAAAATAAAAGGAAGAAGCCAATTGACAAAAAAGTTTTTTAAACATTTTCTACACCATAAATTGAAATTACATTTACTTATAACACTTCTTTAGCATGTTTCAAAAAAGTAAAGCTGTCCAAGATATTGATGAGCTAGAGGCAAGATTTTTTCAGAACCTTCCTAAAGCCCTGCAGCTGTTTCCAGAACCACAGCCCCAAAAGAGAGGAGAGGGGATACAGTTAGATCTTGTGTGTGATATCCCACATAAACCCCCAATACAATACTGAATCTTTTGGGGAAAGCCCTCCACTCTGTCCACCCCATTCACTACAAAGGACTGCAGTCTTGCCCACTGACTTTGAAGCTATGGCCACTAAAGATTAAATGACGGTATCAGGCCGAGGTGGAGTTCTCCCCATCTCAGCTACTCTTCTTTCAGCCCCTTTCCTCTCCAGGAAGTAGAATGTCAGGTCACCTAGCCAACACTAGAGGGCAGGGCACTGCTTGTATGTGAGAAATTTGAAACAAACTATGCACAGGTTGGTGAACTGCAGGTTCACAGCTTGGTTGCAGATCTCATCTGTGCAGATAAAGAAGTGTATGCTTGGTTCTCTTCATAGATATGTCTTGGTTTCCTCACCTTCACACTCTTTCTGTCCTAGGAGCACAGTGAGTCTTCCTGTGTCCTGAAGGAAAAAGAAGACAATTTGGTTTAGATGAAGACTGTTCTATAAGGGAGCTCCCACAGGACAACAGGCTGTTTCCTCCTGTCTCTGACTTGGAAGAAACTCTCTTCAACCACTTTTCCAGTGGCTTCCAGCATCTCCCTACGTAGTGCACTCAATTCTCTTCAACATTGGTCATCCTTTTCTTCTGTCTCTGCCTTCTGTCTCTTTCTGTTGTATGTCCAACATTCTGCCCCCAATCTCGGCCGCCCCCTCACCAACTACCTGACAAATGATGGGAGTCTATGTGATGTCTGCTGAAATGCAGAGTGGGCTATACCTTCCCCAGACAATGCTGTGGATTTGACAATGCTCTTTTTTGTTTTAAATTTATTTTAAATTAGAGGATAATTGCTTTACAATGTTGTACTGGTTTCTCTGTACAACAACATGAATCAGCCTTAAGTATACATATGCCCCACCCTCTTGAAACTTACCCCCTCCCCATTCTACCCCTCTAGAATGTCACAGAGCAACAGCTTGAGCTCCCCGTATTATACAACAACTTCCCATTGGCTATCTAGTTTACATACAGTAATGTATGTTTCAAGGCTACTTTCTCAATTCTTCCCACCCTCTCCTTCCCCTGCTGTGACCAAAAGTTCATTCTGTACATCTGCATCTCTATTCCTGCCATGCAAATAGGTTCATCAGTACCATTTTTCTAGATTGCATATATATGTGTTAATATACAGTATTTGTTTTTCTCTTTCTGACTTACTTCATTCACTCTGTACAACAGGATCTAGGTTCATCCACCTCAGTTCAACTGACTCAGATTTGTTCCTTTTATGGCTGAGAAATACTCCATTTATATAAATACCAAAATTTCTTTACCTATTTGTCTCTCAGTGGACATCTAGGTTGCTTCCATGTCCTGGCTATTGTAAATAGTGCTGCAATGAACATTGGAGTAAATGTGTCTTTTTCAATTATGGTTTTCTTAGGGTATATACACAGTAGTGAGACTGCTGGGTCATATGGCAGTTTTATTCCTAGTCTTTTTTTTTTTTTTTAAAGGAATCTCCATATTGACAAGGGATTAACCTCCAAAGTATACAATAAGCTCATTCAACTCAATGTCAGAAAAATAATCAGAAAATGAGCAGAAGACCTAAACAGATATCTCTCCAAAGACATACAGATGGCCAATAAACACATGAAAAGATGCTCAACATCTCTTGTTATTAGAGAAAAGCAAATAAAACTACAATGAAATATCACCTCATATTCTTCAGAATGATGCTGCTGCTAAGTCGCTTCAGTCGTGTCTGACTCTGTGCGACCCCATAGATGGCAGCCCACCTAGTCACCATAAAAAAATCTACAAATAGTAAATGCTGGAAAGGATGTGGAGGAAAGGGAACCCTCTTGCCATGTTGGTGAGAATGTAAATTGATACAGCCACTATGGAGAGAGGAAGATTCTGAACCCCACTCTTTTAACACTGAGTTGCCACTGTCGTTCAAACTGCCAGGTGATACAGGATGCCCATTTTAGCCGCATGGCTGCCCAGCTGTTCTAGGAATTTCAGAGGGCTTGTGTATTAGTTGGGAGATAACGTCCCGCTGCTCCACTCCTCTGTTACTAGGACCGTGTGGTTGCTAAGGAGCTTCAGTCACGTCCAGCTGTTTGTGACCCGATGGACTGTAGCCTGCCGGTCTCTTCTGTCCATGAGATTTTCCAGGCAAGAATGCAGGGGTGGGTTGCCATGCTCTCCGCCAGGGGATCTTCCTGACCCAGAGATCAAAACTGCACCCCTTGCATCTCCTGCACTGGCAGGCAGGTTGTTTACCACTAATGTCGCCTGCGAAGCCCATGACTAGGACCACTTGATCCTGTAAATAACTATTTATCATAATTGCCACTCTTTTAAAGTTTTAATCTCAACCCACATTAGAGGGTCACATGAATTAGAATTCTTGATATTCATGTCTTTTTTTCCAAGAAAACATATGACATAGGTGATGATCTTTTGGAACAGTATCTGCTTCATTTTCTAAACCACTTTGGTTTCACAGTACATAATAATGACAGTTTCTTCTTAACACAATTTAGAGGTTGAA